TGTCAAAAATCTATTATAAACAAAAATATGAAATTAAGAAAACCGAATCAACGAATATTTTATCCTAATTGTACGCAACACTAACATATAAAATGACAGCCATATTGTACAGTGCTGCCAACTTAAACATAAATCAGCACAATAGTTAATATACGTTTATTATTTGTTTATGAATATCACAATTTTATTAACGGTTTTTAAGGCTAAAGTGTGCTTTAACTATTGAGTGCATTAAAAGCAAAATAAGATTTTTTTATAAATACAAGCGTTAAACTCCAATGTCATAATTATTATGATCCAAATTTACTTATTAAATAAATAAAAGATTTTGCTATATAAGTAGGTGCTTTAAAATTTCGTAAGAAATGCCAAAAATTTTTACGTGTTCAAATAATTAAAATTTTATTTTTGCGTAAAATTCTTCAAAACAACCATTTTGAGAAATTATATAAAAATTTGTTTGTACATTTCTTTTTAAAAACAAAATGCAGAATCATATAAAACAAAAAATCTATCTTTATTTTTTTTTTTAATTTTTATATTATGTGGCCACATTTAGATTGGCATTCCTACTAGTTTCCAAGATATGACCAAAAATGTCCATGTACATCTACAAAAAAGGGCCTTAAATAATAAAAAGCTTTTTTTCATAATTTTTTTTAAAAAAATGTCAGTTCTCACTCTCGTGGACCTTCTTTTACGTGTTTGCAAAATTTTGTCCAAATCGGAGGCTATGGGAAAAATCTTTTAAATTTAAAATGGAATTACTGAATGCAAGTAGCTACTAACCGATTTGAAAGCGTTTAAATAAAATGATATGCACTGTTACACACAAAAAAAAAAAAAAAAAAACACTAAATTTATGGAAGAAAATATTGAATTGTGTGCTGCACAAAAAAAGACGTTTCAACTATCAAATCATTGTTTCAAGCAAGTTTTTGTACCCAATTAAAGAAATAATAACAAAATATATAAATATTTAATAAATTTAATTCAAAATTATTAATTTAATGAGCAGTTTGGTTGAAAATTTATTAAAAAGTCAATTAAGCTGATAATTAAAACAATCAAAGTTTTAATTGAATACAGTGCGTTGAGCATATACAAAAATATCTCTTTGTAGTTACGTTTGAACAAATAAAGTAATATCTTAATTTTTAAATAGTCAATTTTTGTAGATATTAAAAAAAGTAGTATTATTTACCCAATTTTACACTTTTCAATCGATTCCCGGCGACACCAGTTATTTTTAGACACTAACTAACAAAATAAGATCCATCCAAACAAAACCGATATTTTTTAAACACCTCTAATGGATGAATGCTTGTAATGTTTTTTGCTAAACATTTTCGTAAGCCTATTAATTTGAAAATTTTAAATTTCTCATTTCATTCCATAGAAAATTCCATGATTTGGCAGAATAACTCTCAAAACAAAACAACATAAAGTAGAAAGAATACAAAAACAGCAATAGCAATAGCAACAACAACATTATTCAAAACCTTTAAAATTAAAATTCATGCTTAAGTTTTGGGTAAATTTGATTTTGGTTTTTGTGGTAGATATACATAACTTGCTCTTCATGTTCTACTACTTGTTTTTAATTCCAATTTACTTTTCATTCGTTGTAGCTCTTGTACCGAATAAGATAAAATGCTAGAAGGAGTCAGTTTCCTTGTCGATGTCGTAGTTCTTGTTTAAATTTAATTTGACAGACAAGAAGGAATAAAAAAGTTATGTCAAGGTGTCAAACCAAAGACATGTTAAATGGAATAATAAATTTGTAGACTGAATAATTTGATAGAGAATTGCCATAGCCTTTTACATATGTATGTATGTATGTATGTATGTATGTATGTATGTATGTATGTACAAACATATATTACGTACTGGTACAGCAAAACTTGAAACAAATTGTTTAGTAAAGTCTTTAAATTAATTACAAATTAAACCACTTTAAGATGATATCGTCTCCGTGAAAAGCGTATGTACATTTGGGCTATGACTTTTTTGATTTTTTGCAAATATCAAAATTTTACATGCCCTAGCTAAAAGGTCCATAGAAATATTGAAAATTTTTTCGATGTAATCAAAAGAGTTTACGCACCAATGTCGAAAATTTGATCTATAGTTTTAGTTAATTTTAAATATTTATTAGTATGTAGATATTTTCCCACACAATATTTACATACATATGTGCATATGTTTTCCAGATATAAAATTTTTTACATATGGGAGATAATAATTTATTGCAAGTTTACCAAGTTTTCCAAATGTTAATTAAGATTTTAATGTAACATAGGAAAAATGTGAATAATCTTATATTTTGTATTTAATTCTTACCAATCCACCCATTGAAATTCCGCCCATTTTTTTTCTAAATGTTCACATGAAATCTTAAATAATCACATTGACACTAAAGTGTCTCTGACAAAATTTGAGCACTCTAACGGTTATATTTTCTTAGGTATACTGATTTAATATTTTCTTAATATGGATGGTGCCACGCCCACTATAGCCATTCCGCCCATTTTGTCCAAAAATATTCTTATGGATGTCAAAGTTATCCGAAAAAATTTTAGGACTTTAGCTGTTGCAGTTTCTGAGATGGCTCCTCGTCCACTTGAAATTTTGAAGTAAAAAGAAGCCTATAAATAATTAATTATGTTAACGCTATCGGTTCTATACATTAGTAGGTCAATCGATGCGTATTTTATCGAGCGATAAGCTCAAAATTACTGAATCGTTAAGACCCATTTCGAAAGGATTCCAGATTTTCTTTTAACAAATTGTACTGAGATCAATATCGCTGGTAGGGAACTGAGGCCCTGTTCAGAAAATGTATTTATTATTTTTCTCGTAGTTAGTATATTAATATGCATCGTTTGAGAGGTATTCCTACAAAAGTGTGGTCAACGGAACACCCTACTGTACATGAATAGAAACAAAAAACAATATATAGAATATGGGTATTAATTCATAAATAGTCATTACAAATTATTGTAAATAAATTAAAATCATGCAAAAATAGAGACACATTTTGCAGATTTTAACTTGTTAGTCGTTGTTTGATTTATTTTTAATAAAACATTAAAAAGTAAATAAAGTGTATGAGTTCTTTTTCCGCCGGTATTAGTAGATTCCTTTTTTTGTTTAATGTATGTATATCAATAGATTTGTTCCATTCTCCTAAGGACCTTGCTAACTATTTTTTCATATTGTGCAAATTTGTATTTTATCAAAATATTTACAGGCTAAGCAGTATGGCTAATAATGTTGAAAATATATTTACAAAATCTGTTTAAAATGTAAGAGTTTAAAACCAAATTAAGAACGCTTTCATGTTTTTTTATAACAAATAATTTGAAAACTAAAAATGTTCAGTTATAAACTTGAAAATACGCAGAAAGTAGAAAATTTTACTTTGTTGCACTTAAGTAACCTTAATAATTTATTCGAATATTCTGTTAGTCAATTGACAATATCTTTTCGAATTATTCTCTTATTAGTTAATAAAGCTTGTAAATAATTTTCCACGATCAATCGAATAAATTTTATTCGAACGACAATCCTATTGAAAAATCGGTATTCTGTGTCTATAGGTCTAATTTGTAATCAAACTGAATAAATTTTTGTGTTTGTATGTACATATTTTGTTTTGATGATATTAATGATGCCTAATTTAACAACGTTAAGCCAATGGAGGGAGGCTTAGCCTAAAAAAAAAGAAAATCATTTTTCATTTCGAAGAAAACGTTCTTGATTGCGAATTAATGATTTGCAATAAATATGTATTATAAGTTATTTATGAGATTGCAGACTCATACAATTGTCATTCATTCGTATTGTCGCTTTAAGTAAATTATTTATATGAAAAGCCATTTATTGGTCTGACAATTTTTTTAGTAATTCAAATACATACCAAATTACCAATTAACAAATTATGTATCAAATATATTTGTCTCGGGACACTAATATTTACTAATCCCAAATAGGAATACCTCTCAAACGATGCGTCTTAATGTACTAAATAAGAGAAAAGGTCCTCAGTTGCCCACCAGCGATTGAAATTATTGATCTCAGTACAATACATTAAAAAATGTCAAAAATCTTTTTGAAATGGATTTCAAAAACTCCTTAATTTCGAGCTTATCACGGGAAAATAATTAAATTGTTTGTTAAAGTATTTCTGGTACGCAAAATTCTGAAACGCTGCAAACCGAATGCTAAAAATATTTATAAATATAATTCTGTATAAGCTAAAAATAAGGATCATTTTGACACCTATTTCGATAAAAAGCAAAAATGATATGTCTCTCAAACCCAATAAAAATCATTTTATGACCCAAAAATATTCTAAAAATTCAAATAATTTTCTCCCGAAATCAGCTCAAAATTTCGGAGATCTATATTTTTAGTCGCTGGTAGGGGACTGAGGCTCCTTTCGAAATAAATATTTTTTATTTTGTTCGTGTTCAGTACATTAATACGCATCAGTAGGGATGAATTTCTACATGATATTCTTAAAAGCGCTGTTCCTACGGACACTCTAACGTACATAAGTAAAGGGGAAGACCATTAATTTGTAAATATATAGAAATATCTAAATACTTATACAAACATAGATACTATATTTGTACTTATGTACGTAGTTGTATATATATAAATATTTGAAATAAAACGAAGGAAATAGAATGTTATTAATGAATGTATATACTTGCACCTATATAGCTACATACATATAAATTAGCAACAAATAAAAATAATAGAAATTGTATAATATAGTATTTATTTGTTTTCTCTCTTTTATTTTGAAAGTTTAATCATTTGATCGTGATCTTGATCAAAGATTAAACCAGCATGTAAAAATTGTCACTATTTTGTTTTAAAACTAATTTAAATAATTTTTTTTACTGCCAGGGCAAACTTTCGCACAATTTGCTTTTGAAAATACTTGCAAATACTAATTTGATATGATTTTTTTTATCTTTTGGCACCAGTACAATGCTTTTGTAATACACAGATAATTCTAAAATTTTAAATTGATACTAGATCATAATATTAATATTAAATAAATAAGTACAATAAGTTAAAGGAGAAAAAAAAAACAATTTCAATTCAATTAATTTAGTGCTCAGTGGATTTGTCAAGGGCCAAATGGCTCTCAGTTTGTTATGATGGAGACATTCCTTGTCCTGGGTTTATGTTTTATACTCTACGAAGCATTGGATTTCTTTCAAGGATGCATACATAGTGCAACTCCCTCTGCCAGTGATCAAATAGATGCATACCGTCGTCAGTTGGACGAACAACGTCAAAAGCAGCAAGAAGAACAATTCTTGGCAAATTTAACTCCACTTCTGAGTGCTCAACTAGCTGCTGCTGGATTTAATCTATCAACTGCCACAACACCAACCGCTTCAACGGCAAGTGTTATAAGTGATTTGAAAGCTCAAGTTCAAACTGATTCTGAAAACTATTCCGTAAGTACACCCGCGTTGAATTCTGGAGGAAGTGGAGGCGTTGGTGGTGAAAGTGGATTTAGGCCTGCTAATCGTAGTGTTTTCGAAGCTCAACAAATACATAATACCTCGTCATTGCCTAGAGACTATTACTACTTGCAGCAACAACAGTTGAAAAACAAGAATTCGTCTAAATCATTACTGTCAAAATTTTCAACATCTGGTTCTGATAATCGCATTTTTCCAGAAGCTCCCAGTATTTTAGGGAACCCTGCGGGCGTTATTACAACACAACCTGTGTTACAACACCAGCGGAACTCATTCGACTCGCCAACATCCATCATCCCTGAGCACGCAGCAAATTCTATAATTACTCACGATTTGAAGAGAGCCCTTTTAAAAAACCACAACAATAACAACGACGATCCCAACATTCTCTCTCGTCACAACTCACAGACAACCTTGTCATCGCACGAAGCATCCTCCTCCGGAGAAGAGGACGACTCTGAAGCATCTTCGACACAAGGTGAAGCTTCCCTCGATTCTTGTCCGTACAACTCTGACCACGATATCAACGAGGATCGTACGTTCACAGTGGGTTCGTGTTCATCATCGCATGCCGATTTTCGAGAAATTGAATGTGAACGACTGCGCCGCCAATGTGTGAGCGTTAAACGCATTTATAGCATATCGGAGAAATTTTAGAAATATTAAAATATCTAAAATTCAAAAATAAAACCAAAAACAATCATTAAAACATGTTTGCAAAAACATTATTGGTTAAAGATTTGCTGAAAAATTATTATTAACAAAAAAGGTATTATCAAGTGAAAACTAAAATTTCTAAAAAAAAACACAGAAAAACTTAAGAAAAAGCACACACCTCTTTCGAATCAATCTTCATAACTACAATTGCACTTTTATTTCAATTTAAGAGAAATCACGCATATTCAAGCATTTCACGCATAATTTTTCGTAAGTAAATCCACATTCACAATACTTTTAATTACAACATGATCGATTCACTTCACTTCTTCATCACTGCTACACAAATTATTGACTAAATAAGTTAACTAAAACGTTATTGTTAATGCCTTCTATTTACTAAATACATACATATCTCTAGAAATACATAAATACAGAATTAAATTTGGATTTATATCAAATTTGTTCATAATAATTATCGTAATTTATTTTCCTTTCTTTAGACGTTTCAACGCCAGAGAGATAAAAAATAAATACAACTTACTTATTATTTTATTCCAACCCATCATGACCAAAAATTACTAAAACCTTGAACAAAAATGACCAAAAAATTAAACACAAAAAATAATTAATAATTTATTTTTACAGCAACATATCGCTCATTTATTTCAAGACTGGTATTATCTAGAAAAAAACGCGTTTCAAGAAAAACGGCTTTAAATGTTTTATGACATTTTAATATTTCAGAAATAACTTATCAAATAATTATCGGATTTCAAACATAAAACCATATAAAAAAGGTATAGATTAGTATGTTTCTAATCTGAATTTAAACTTAGGTTTAGTTTTGATGTTTACAGCAAAAAATCACCTTAACACCGAAAATAGTAGACATTTTTCAAAAAAGATAAAATATTATGAAATATTTATATACTTTGTAAAATACACTGCTCAAAAAACGCAAATTTTTAGTTTGAAATAAATGAATGATATGTTGAATTATGACATCCCTAGTTTTTATGTCGTACAAAGTTTGTAAAAGTTTATGCTGATGTTGTTATGCCATTAAATGGCATGAATAGACCATTTCATACGCAGAAATAAAATTTAAAAGTTTTAAACCAAAATATAATTTATACATTAAATGTTTTGCAAAACAAATTAAAAATCCTTAAAAAATATATAAGTACAAAAAAAAATGCTTAAAAAATATGAAAATACAAAAATAAATTTTCCTTAAAACAAAATGATTATATACATACATACATATATGTATGTATACATAATATATTTGCGACGTAAAACATGTGAACATGGCACCTGATCTATGTATATCTCATTAATTTTTTTATTTTCAAAGCTTTTTTCTTTGATTTAATTTGTATGAAATCTAAACGATTGTTATAAAAAATAATGATGATTCACTTGAAATTCATATACCTTGCAGTTCTTATACTATATTTATATATTTTTTAATTTAAATTATTAATGACGATATTTCCAATTTTGTTCGGTTTAGCAGCGAAATAATTTTAACTTGTAATTTTAACACCACAAACATACCTAGAGTTGATAGAGAAGAAAGAGATGAAGTTGTTAAAAATGTTTCACAGTATCGATACTGGTTTCTACACTGAAAAAAAATCCATGCCTAATATATACGAAAAATGTCGTACATTGTACGAATCGTTCGTTGTTTCGCACCACGAATTTCTTTCGTAATATATACGAAATTGTACGAAATATTTTAGTATAATGCAAAATAATCTTAGAAAATTAATTGACATAAATTGAAAAAAGTGAATTTTGAATAAATATGGTAAAATTTACGAAATATTAATTTATACAAACATTTTTGTTCATTTTAAAATAATTTTCTAATTCTAATTCAAAATTATTCTCCACCGAATTTTT